GTTCCACGTGTCTTCTCCCTAACGTCATGTGTATTCTAAATCCTGTATGCCATTCCATCGTACTTTTTATCAGCAAAATATCACCCAAGGAGATTACAGAATTCAATACAGTCTCATGGTTTTCTGGTTCCTGCCCAAGAAATGGCACAGGGAGGCCTTAGGAAATTCGTGCAATGAAGCTGAAACATTTTATTGAAAACCAGTGATATTGTAGCAAATGACCTCCTAGGCATGTTCTTGGGGGACACTGGGGCCAGGGATGGGGTGGGGAGTGACGACTGGGGCTAAGAGGCAGTGCCCCTGGTGCAAGCAGGGACAGGGCCTGGAGGATGTCATGGAGGGCGCTGGTTTGGGCACAGAGGACCCCAGATTCCAAAGTGGGTTCCTGCCACTTCCTAGCTGTGTGACTTGGAGCCCAGTGCCTAACCTTGCGAGGCCAGTTTTTCCTCTTGGAGTAGGGAGGACCGTAATACCCTCTTAGGGCAGTTGTCAGGACCCAAGGGGAGTCATTGAAGTTCTCAGCTGCTACGATCACTCCTTTCTCTGCGGTCCAACCGTGGGCTGAGGCGCCCGGGTCCAAGGCCCATATAGGCACATGCTCACAAACTCCCGCCGGCCAGGTGAGACCCAGGTGGCTGCCTAGTCCCCGGGTCTTAATCCTTCAGGGTCAAGAGGGTGGGCAGAGTGGATTTAGGGGCAGGAATATGACAGAAGTTCGGGAGCCCGCAAGCTGGTTCGAGACCTTGTCGCTGCCCACTGCAGTGAGGGCGAGGGAGTGAGAATAGGAGCAAGTCTGGTGAGATCTCATGGAGGTGGTGGTGAGTGGCAGGCTGCAGTGATGGTCTTTCGGGGCTGAGGAGGTTGAGAGGGACAGAAACCGAGGCCCTGGGCGAGGGGAGAGGGGCAGGTAGGTGGCCCACGTCTTCGGAGGCGGTGCAGCACGCCCGGCGGCTGCAATGGCACCACCAGATTCACGCTATCTCGGGAGGTGCGCCCAGCAGGGCGACCAGGGCTGCCACCCAGTCCCCTGGCCAGTCAGACCTCGCACTCGGGAGTGACCCCAGTTCCCCCCTCAGTTTCCCAGGGTGGAGGGGTTGCGCGGCTGGCCATGGCAGCTCCACTTTGCTATGTGCCAGGCACTTGTGCGCTTCCATGCTCGGACTGCACAGAGAGGTGCAGCGCCCTGCCCAAAGTCACACTGCTGAGACATGGTGGGATGGGCTTCCAATACCTGCGCAGGCCTGCACCCTTCCTTTCCTCCAGTCCTTCTCCCAGCAGTGCTCACAGCTGGTTCCCTTGGGTCCTGGTGGGGCTGCCAGGGTGTGTCTGGGACCCAGTCTGAAACTGGATGCAGCATGGTATGTGAGTTCATCGGGACAGGTTTTTCCAGCCTTTTGTCTGATTCCCAGAAGGTCTTCCACCCCTAAACTATCTATTGGCCCTGTGTGAGAGGGCAGAGGTGGGCTTAGAGTGATCTTTGTAAGTCAGGGGTGAGGTCACTAGCCCAACAAAATTGGAATACTGGAGCCGAAGCCTTGCCTCAGGCAAAGGTAAATTTGATTCTCCTTGAAGCACTGATTCTAATCTGGAACAGTTGGTTGTCAACCCCAGAACCAAAGCTCTTCTCCTTGTTGTTGAACGTTTATCAAGCCCACTTCGCTACTGAGCAGTGAGGTTCTTGAACAACAGAACCTCCCTACACACATAAGTGAAAGTGGGTTTGATACTTTCACTTACATGTAGAAGAGAAATAAAGGGAGACAATATATGACATGCGTTGCTGTCTCACTTATAACCAGAACTTTCAGCTGTGGTGGAAGAGAGCATGCATTCGAGTGCTTGCACCTGCTGCTAATGAAGAAGTTTGAATTGGTTAAAAAAAAAAAGTATTAGAATCTAGTTCAAATAAGAAAATCAAACAGGGAGATGAAGATGGAAACTTGGGAGAAAACACTTAGTGTTAGGACAACCTTATTTATGCTAATAAAAAGGAAAGGCTAGATTGAAGCAGGGATGACATGCCAAGGTCAATTACCAGCTGCCTCACTCTACCCACAGGTCATACTATGACCCTTGCATGGATCCCTTATTTTCCCCACAATGTCAGAGCACATTCTTTGTGTCTTGTGCTTTGAGGTACTGCTACTTGAAGGGATAGTAATGAACTCCTTCAGTTGCTATTAATAAGAAGTAAAATATTAATAAGATTGAAGTTTTTGGATTCATTAGGGTGAGATTTATATGCCATTTTATACTGTTAGCATACATACTAGTCTATGTATACTCACTATAAATTTAAATTTATGTTGAGTTAATGTGTAGTGTGAAGAAATGAGCACTAATTTTCAGACAGTTTCCTTATTCTGAAGGATCCCTTACTACTTTGTCTTACATAATTAGAGGCAAGAGGTGAGGGTAGGGTTTCCTATAAAAACTTTTAAATATTGTATCTTAAAGTAATGCTCATTTAAAGTGGGCTCAATTAAACCATTTTAAGATCAAAATTCTTTTGACCAGGATGAATCTTGATGATACAGATCCATCTCATCCAAGTAGTTGGATGGCAGACCCAGTGTGAATTTTTAGGCCCAGAATATCTCAGTTTGGACCAGTCACCCCTGGGGGATGCTGGTGGCTGAGGCCAGGGACAGCACAGTGGTAGAATGTACACATCCAGGTGCTGTTCCAAGCAGGTACTTGTGCATGCCTGCACTTTCTCCTTGGGCTTCAAGAGAGCGAACCTCTGGGGTGGTGGGTGGAGGGCTGCCAGGGCTGTTCCTGAGGCCAGGGTCCCCAGCTTATCCCCTGACAGGGTGAACTCATCTCTCTGATCCTTACCTTCTACACCTAAGCAATCTTTCCAAGGGCTGCTGCCCAGGTTGGGGCAGGTGTACAGTGTGGCAGAGCTGGTGACCTGACCTCCTTCCTCCCATCTTGCCTGTGCTCCCTCCTCTCTGCACCCTAAGAATCACATGTCTGTACCTGCACCCTCCACATCCTGGAAGAGCTGGCCCTTCAGTGCAGACCTTGAGAGAGGGGCAGGGGCTGCAGCAGGGAAGTCTGCATGCAGTGGGTACCTCCAGCTGGTGAGGGACCACTGCTGTGGCAACTGCTTCTGCAGTTTTTTGGTGCAGGACCAGCAGAAGAGGGTGGTGGGTGGGTGGGTATGCCCTGGGATTCACGGGTTAGGCCAGAGCCAAGGCCTGCCATCTTCAGCTTGACCTGCAATGGCTGTGACCCTTTCCCTAGTTGGATGCCACTTAGTTAAGGAGAGGAGTGGGCCTCCATAGATGGCACTGTCCCCCAGTTATTGGGAACCCTGACCCCAGCCTGTTAGCCCTAGGCTGCCCAGCACAGGGTGACCTCTGCAGGAAACACTGCTCAGCCAGAGGTGATCATGGCCACTGGTACCTCTCTAATGATGTAAAGCTGTCCCTAACTCTCATCTGTGCTGAGGGCTACCTGTGGGACAGCTGTCTTGCCCCCTCTGTCAGGGAGCAGGGTGAGATACTAAGGCACTTGGGGCAGGAAGTGGCTGGCTTGCTTCCACAGCAGCTCTGCAGGCTGCCAGTGGGTCACCTGTGTTAGGTCAAGGTTCGGCCCTGACTGCAGGTCCACCTGAGTTCCCTGCGCGCCTCCCCCAAGTTCTCAGTGATTGTGTTGGAAGCTGGCCTGGCTTGTGGTTTGAGCTGCATCCTAGCCTTCCTGGGTGATGGCAGAGACAGAGGAGGGGGGCTTCTGGATGGAAGGGGATCCAGGGCAGAGTGGGACTTGGGATGGGGCAGAGGCCATGTGTTGAGGGCTTCGATAAAGTCAGGATGGCACCTGGCAGTTTGCCAGGAGGAGTGGTTTGTGAGGCAAGGTCATCGAGCCATTAAGATGGTGAGGATTCCTTATTGGCTGACTGCTGTGTCTAGATGATGTTAATTGAGTCAAGCTGTGTGTAATCAGTTAGGTATATGTACCTCTGCTGTCCGGCAGAGATGCACCTTGGGTGCCCGCTACCTTGAATTCCAGCTTCAACCTTCAGCTTACTTGTCACCTCCTGGTTATTTTGCCCAGCCGGACTGCGGCAGCCATGAGCAGACACATACTGCTGCTGGGTTTCCATTAACCAGGGAGCTTTCTGGCTATAGAAATCTCACTTTCTCACAAAATGAAATGGAAACGGGGCTGTAGTCACATGAGAAGAGGCACAGTTTGGAGCTGCTGCCTTGGGGACTCTTTTTTTTTTTAAGAGAGAGAAAGAGAGAGAATCTTTTTTGTAGATGACCCAACACAATGCCTTAATTTTTATGTGTGCTGAGAATCTAACCCAGGTCCCGCCTGTGCTAGGCGAGCGCTCCACCGCTGAGCCAGAGGGGACTCTTGCTTCTCCTTTCAGACCTGTGGGGGAAGGGACACTGGGCTGGAGGATTCTCTAGCCAGAGACACGTCTCCTGCAGGAGGCTCCAAGTTCTGTAGCCAGTGTGAAGAGACCAGGCAAGTCCCAAGGGGCACCGAGGTGGTAGTGGGTGGGGGCCTCTGTGCCTTCCAAGCAGATGGGATACTCTAGCCCCTGGCTTCCTGGTGTGTTGCCCTCCCACATAAGGGGAAGAAGCACAATGCCTGCTGGGTCTCTTTGGGTTTTGGAAACCACCTGTTACACACCTGGAAACACTGTTGCACACCATGTAGCAGGAGGCTTTCAGTAGGTAGGGGACATAGAGGGCTCGGAAGTGACTTCAGGCTGTAGTAAAAGCAGTTCTATCGTAATATGGAAAGATTGCTGCGAAGATTGAGCTTGGGAAAGGCCAGAGGGCAAACATCAAGCCACTCAATCAAGGAGTCCAGAGGATGCTGCTGGCAGGAACCCGTGGGGGTCACCCACCACCGCTGTGACTCTCAGCTCACACTAGGCCACACTGTGACAGCAGGCCATGACCTGATAATGGAGGAAGAAGGGAAAAAGCAAGCTTGGTTCGTAAGGTGTTGGCTCAATATGCAGGTGTCAGCTACTAATGGACAATCACCACACCAAGACCTCCTCAGGGGAAGGTGAGGTTAAGATATATGGTAAACCGTGGGCAGTAGAGCGAAGCATGGCCAGCTATTCAAGGCAAAAGAAAGACTGACCACAGAATTGTTTGGGATGGAGACATTAGAATAGACATAGGGGAGTTTGATGATTTCCCATTGCCTATTGTAATGGTCTCTACCAAAAAGCAGTGACCACAGGAGAGGCACTAAACAACTGGACAAATAGCCAAAAGAGATATTAGAATGGACATACGGGAGACTGGTGATTTTCTATCACCTATTGTAATGGTCTCCACCAAAAAGCAGTGACCACAGGACAGGTACTACACAACTAGAAAAATAGACAAAATCACTTGACCTGCTTATAGCACCTATTCAACTACCATCTTTCTCCAGAATGCAGGTATGCTCTGTCAGCTGCCTGAACATGGTGACATGTCCTCAGCAGGGAGACGTCATGTGTCTAGGAACCAAGGGTAGGAAGCAGTTTGGCCTTAGTAACTATCACCCACTCAGGCTTCTCCTCCTCACACGTCTGGATTCTGTGGTATTAGACACCTTCATTTGCAAAGCAATAGTGCTTCTTCAGTGGATGCAGCCAGGGAGCCACTGAGCAACAAGCTAATGGCACTGTAGGAGTCTCACTTCAAGAGACCAGCTGGCAAGACAAGGAGCCATTCTGGTACGTGTGACTGAAAAAATCAAGAGAGAAGTAGATAGGAATTTGCTTATAATCAGGGTCAGAGAAGAATGTATTTTGCATCCTGATTATGCCCCTGAGTCTCCTTGGTACACCACTATATAATTTTGACAGTAAAATGTCGAGTACAAAATCTATCACCTAAGAAAAACTTGGTACCAGGGGCTCAGACTTCTCAAGGATGAGGGTGTAGGCCATGCCACTCAGCAAGCTGCTGAGACGAGGAGAGGTGTTAGGTATAGGCAGAGTGAGGGCATCAGTTACTTCTTGTTTTGTTTTGAGAGAGAGAGAGAGAGAGAGAGAGAGAGAGAGAGAATGAATTTTTTTCTTAATATTTATTATTAATGCCCTCAGCTACCCTCACCAGAATGGCTGTGGAAGCCACTGACCTGCAGGGAGGGCACCATGTATGATCCAGTTGCCCCAGAGGGAGGAGAACCAGGGGAACGTGGTCCCCTTTCCCAGAGACCAGAGACAGCAGAGTGCAGCAGAGAGCAGCTGGTGACTCAGAGAAGACCAGGGGAAGGAGAGAGGGACGTGGGCTGTCCTCTTGACTGGCCATGTGGCCTGGGGTTGTGACAGGGCAGTTCCCCTTTCTGGGCTTCCTGATAGGATCCTGGGATCTTGTCTATTCAGATGCCTCAGTGAGCTCCCGCTCTGGGATCTCTTGTGGAGAACAGCCTCTGCCCCCCTGAGTCTGCATGGGGCAGGAGTGTGCTCCAGGCCTGAGTGTGATCCCTGGGCTCAACTGGGCCTGGCAGGCCAAGGGAGAGTGAGGCAAGCGTGCCAGGGCAGGGGAGGAGGCCACAGATGGTTTAAAATTGGGAATTCTGAGAGGCAACATGGTCTGGAACTGAGTGTGCTCCCCGCAGTTGGGCTGAGGGAGGAAGCACCACAGCTGGGCTGCTCAGACTCGGCTTCTCAGTTCTGGAGGCCAAGGCCGGCTTGCCTGGTCACAGTCTCTCCTCTTGGCATGTCCTCTAGAAGCCTCCTGGAGATGCAGGCAGAGAGTGCTGTCTCCTCCTAAGGCCACTCATCATGACCCAGGGCCACTCTGGCTGGGGACGGGAAACCAACCTAGAGAAGGCACTGCCAGGAGAGCCCAGGAGCTTGGCCAGCCTCAGGGGGTGACCACGGTCAGTGCCCTCTGTAGGAGTAGTGCTCATGGGCATGTGGGCCACAGCTGTGGTGGTTAAATGGCAGAACCCACAATGGGCCCAATGAGTGGGACAGGGCAGGAGAAGACAAGGGCACACTCCTGATCTGTTCTCTGTGCTCAGGGGAGGACGTGCATGCGGGCTGCCCATGACTGAGAGTCCCGGTCCCAGGAACAGGTCCTCAGGGGACCGAGCACCAGACCTGAGCCAGAGCAAGTCTGCACCATTCTGCACCTGGGCAGGGGTGAGCTTCACACCCACCCCCAAAACAATTCTACCTTCTCAACACCCAGAGCCGGTGACTCCTGCCCGGCCAGGCTTTGGGAAGAGCTTTTAGAAGAGCATTCAAGGCTCTCGGTGGCCTCTCTGAACTTACAAAGTTCAAGCTGCCATCCAAGATTTCCATGATGGTGCAGCCACCTTCTGTAGCCTGGGCATGAAGCAGGGGCACCGACCGTGAGTGTGCTGGCATCCAAGGTACCCTGATGGGTCAAGGCAGGTTGTGGGCTGCAGTCACACAGGCAGACATCCTGTGAGGAAAGCGGCAGCATTTCTGTTATGGAAACCCCATCAGCACTGTAAAGGCAATGGCTGTTACTTAAATAGCTTCCGCTGTGCCTGGTGGTGATGCCAGCACATTCTGGGGCTGATGATGCCCATCTGTTGAATAAGGAGGTTTCTTCCCCACAGCCAGGACCTGAGCGGTGACCCTTCTGGTTTCTACAATGGGACAGGTGGGACAGGCAAATGCCCATCCAGGGCACCCCCCACATGTCTGACCGGGTGCCTGGAGAACAGCTGACCCACTCTTCTTTGGCTTTGTGGAATGATGGGTGACCTTTATCTCTCTGCATCATACTTTCCCTGTCTGTCAATCTGAACAAATGATTTGATACTTTCTGCTTCTAAGTACAAAGGCAGCCAGTAATTGGAGCAGGTGTGTGTGTGTGTGTGTGTGTGTGTGTGTCTCGGTGTCAACAGTTATGGTTTTACCAGGAGCCCAGATGGACTGTGGTTAATGCCTTTGAGAAAGATTTTGTTGTTATTTAAATTCAATAAAGTTTTCCTACTCTGCTTTTATTCTGTTGTTCGCTTCACTGAATCCAGTCTAGAATGTCTGTTTCTTTCCAGCAAAGCACAGCTATTTGAGAAAGAAATATGTTCAGATAATAGATTTTCCTAGTAAATACCGGACCAGGTACATTGTATTTTTTTCACAACCCAAGGACTTTGTTATGGTAGTGCACAGCACAATGAAATCATATTTTGCAGACTTCATAGTGAAGCTTGCAGAATAGGAACCTGAAACCTGTCCTGTGAAATCATAGTCAAGACAATTGGTCACACATGACCTCTGGCCAGTGAAGGAGCAGGGGACAAGGCCCAGGCCACCTGGAGGCATGCTTTTCAGTGTGGTCTTAGCTCCTGCTGCCCTACCCTGCTCCCTGCCCTGGCCTCCTGGGGCAAACCTGAGTAAAATCCATGTGCATGGGATGTGGCATTCCTGTGTGTCCTCACAGGCCAAAGACTGCCTCTAATGGCAGAGGTCAGCGAGATAGCCTTATATTGTGGGATTAAGCTCTCAAACCCAGAGTCATCAGATAAATGGTGGCATTGTTTTCATCTCCCAGCCAGCGATGATGCTGAGTTCAGGCCATGAGAACTCCAGGGTGAGATATGTGATGCCAAAATGGAGGTGAACTCAGCACTGCATTGCAAAGACTCTTAGCACAACCTAACAAGTGGTTTAAAATCTGGCAAGACAAGCAGCCCCAGATGCAGTCACTCCACTTCCTTGACCTCTGTCACAGCAACCTGGAGACAGTTTGGGAGAAGTCAATGACCCATGTACCTTTGAAGATGGCAACATAAAATACATCTTCACAGCAAATAAGAAATGCAAAAAAGGGACAAGTAAGGATTCCCTGAAAAAAAAATATGTGAGAGTATGGATTTGGTACCAAGGATATCACTATACCAGGTCATTCCACTGGTGCCTGATGGGAAAAATGCCATTTCCAGTTCTGCTACTAAAACAGATGTCCGGCAGGATAATGCAGCTGGCAGAGCTGGTTCCAGTAGCCTTATGCAGGTGACAGATTTGGCACCTTTCCTGCATGACTTAGATAACATCTTTGATAATTCTGATGATGACAAACTTGGGGCTGTATCACCTGCACTGCGCTCATCAAAAACGCCTATGGTTGGAACCGAAGATCAACCTCTTGGGAAGGATGGAAGAGCTGCTGTTCCATACCCACCCACAGTTGCAGACTTGCAAAGGAGGCTCCCCACCCCTTCATCTTTGGAACAGCATCCTGCATTTTCTTCTGTGATGAATTATAAAGATGGGATCAGTTCAGAGACAGTGTCAGCATTAGGCATGATGGAGAGTCCTATGGTCAGTATAGTTTCAACACACCTCACAGAATTCAAAATGGAAGTAGAAGATGGATTAGGAAGTCCCAAACCAGAGGAAATAAAAGGACTTTTCATATGTGCACAGAGTTCCACCCTTCCAGCCTCTTGTGGGATCTTCCATGTTTGCTCCACTGAAGACGTTGCTGAGCCATTGTCTGCTATCTCTGAAGACACCTGGTGCCTGTCTGTTTTGGCCTTCGTGGGCAATTCCTCCTAAAGTTGAACAACTGCAGCCACTTTCGTTAGGGATGGCTACAATCATGGGCTTAGTGTTGGGAGCCTAGAAGATCCAGATTATCTGAAAACCACCGCAGATGAAGACGCTGAGCAGCACTTCCCGAGCCAACAAAGTGGGGCAGGAGTCCTCCCATCTCCAGCGACCCCTCGATTTTCTGTCCCCACACCACAAACCCCAGAACCCCAAGAACTCCCAGAGTTGGGGGCTGCCAGTGGTCAAGAGTCTGTAAATAGTACAGCACTGATCGGGGTCACCAGCCTCTACCCCCTCTACCACACGGGCCTTAACTCTGTGGAGCCTGCCACCAGGCAGCCAATCCCTGAGGCCCAATCTTTATGTAACCTGATTCTCTCAGATTCTGTGATGAATATCTTTAAAGACAGAAACTTTGACAGTTGTTGCATCTGTGCCTGCAACATGAACATCAAAGAGGCAGATGTTGGCCTCTACATCCCCAATTCTTCCAGTGAGGACCAGTACTTCTGCACCTATGGGTTTAATGCGATTATGAACCGCAACTTGGCTACAATTCAGGGCTTCCTTGAAGATGAGTTGAGTATTTGGGGGAAGAATTCTGATATTGGTCAGGCTGCAGAGAGGTGCTTAATGATGTGTCAGACCAAGTTTCTTCCTCAGATGGAGGGAGCCAGAAAATCCCAGGAGACACCCAGAAGCCGCCTTCTTCTCCAGAATCGGCATACACAACCTTTTGCTTCTCTGAATTTCCTGGACTGTATTTCCTCTAACAGTCGCCAAACTCTTCCCTGTATCAGCAGGAGTTGTGGCTGGGTACAGGCAGACACAATGATTACTGGACAGAGTGCTTTAATGCACTAGAGCAGGGACGGCAGTAGTGGATGATCCCACTGGTGGGAAAGTGGATGAAGCTCTGGGGAGAAGTGTCACTGTGCACTCTTGGCCTCACAGCAGTGTGCTAGATGTCAGCATGCTCCCCTCTCAGAATGTGCTCCACATGCTGTTGTCTCTGCAGCCCTTTCTCCAAGATGTCATCCAAAAGAAGCACACGGGAAGGACCTGGGAGAACATCCGGCACAGGCAGGGACCACTCACCTGGCAGCAGTTCCACAAGATGGCGGGATGTGGAACCTACAGTTCACAAGAACCTCCTGAGCTGTCACCCATCCCTACCCTGCTAGTAGGCTTTGACAAGGACCTCCTGACCATCTCGCCATCCTCCTTGCCCTTTGGGGAAAGGCTGTTGTTGGACCCATGTGGGGGCCACCGTGATGTTGCCTGTATTGTGTTGTGTCCAGAAAATGAGGCCTTGCTCAAAAGAGCCAAAACTTTCTTCAGGGACTTGAGTGCTGTATATAAGATGTGTAGGTTGGACTGGGGATGTGGCTCAAGCGGTAGCGCGCTCGCCTGGCATACGTGCGGCCCAGGTTCGATCCTCAGCAGCACATACAAACAAAGATGTTGTGTCCGCCGAAAACTAAAAAATAAATATTAAAATTTTCTCTCTCTTTAAAAAAAAATAAGATGTGTAGGCTTGGGTAGCACAAGCTCATCTGCAAAGTTCTATGTGATGGCATCATGCATGTGGGAAAGACCATGGCACAGAAGCTGACAGATGAGCTTGTGAACAGATGGTTTAACCAGCCTTGGAGCAGTGAGGACAATGACAATCATTCCAGACTCAGACTTTATGCACAAGTTTGCCACCATCACCTAGCACCTAATTTAGCCTCTCTGCAGCTGGACAGCAGCCTGTTGATACTACCTAAATACCAGACCCCACCAGCAGCAACACAGGGACAAGCCCCACCTGGGAATGCTAGGCCTTTAGCTTCAAATTCAGGATCAGCAGTTCCCCCAGCCGGCAGTGCACGGTGGTTCTACAAACCCCCCAACAAGCAGTTCCACATCTGGTTCCTCTGTGCCCCCAGTCTCGTCATCTGCTTCTGCTCTGGGTGTTAACCAGATGAGCACTACCTCTTCCTCAGGACTCAGTGGTAGTGTTAGAGGGCAGAACCCCAGTGTTGGAGGCAGTGCCACGGACAGAACCCAAGGGAACCTGGGCTGTGGTGGAGACACTGAGCTTGGGCAGAATTCCCCCCAGCCCATGCAGGATGGACAAGAAAGTGCTACAGAAAGGGAGAGACTAGGAACTCCCACAGAGCCTGACAATGCAGACAGCAAAGCCTACCCTCCTGCTGTTGTCATTTACATGGTAGACCCCTTCACCTACTGCAGAGGAAGACTCCACTTCTAGAAACTTCTGGCTCTTGAGTTTGATGTGCTGCTGCACAGAAATGCTGGATAATTTACCTGAGCATATGAGAAATTCTTTCTTTCTCCAGATTGTGCCTTGCCAGTACATGCTTCAGACAGTGAAGAATGAACAAGTTTTCTGCAGTCAATACTTGAAGTCCATGGCATTTTCAGTGTTCTGCCAGTGCAGGTGACATCTGCCCACACAGATCCACATTAAATCCCTCACAGGATTTGAACCTGCAGCCAGCATTGAGATGACTCTCAAGAACCCTGAGCAGCCCAGCCCAATCCAGCTTTACTCCCCTCCTTTTATATTGCGCCCAATCAAAGACACATCAAAGCAGAAAGAGCTTGGACAGAACTTTGGTGAGGCCAGCCAGAAGTACAATGTGCTCTTTGTGGCTATCGTCGATCCCATGAAAAGCACTGGCTCTTGGCTTCCTGCACTGACCTCCATGGGGCGTTATTAGAGACTTGCATTGTGAATATTGCTTTACCCAATAGGTCACAGAAGAGTAAAGTATCTGCACGCAAGATTGAACTGCAGAAACTGTGGGAAGGTGCATAGGCATTGTGCAAATGATATCACTGCCCTGGAGAGTTGTGATTGGGACACTTGGGCACCCTGGCCATGGGGAGCCTAAAGATTGGAGTATCCTCCTTGGAGAATGTTCACTACAGACAATCAGCAAACAGCTCAAGGATGTGTGCTGGATATGTGGAGCCCCCCATGGAGCCCCAGGGGTCCTTTGTAGTGATGCCAGACGCTGTCATAATAGGCTCTGTTTTTGGCCGAAGTACTTCACTGAACCTGTGGTCTTATCAGCTGTACACCCCTCAAGACACATCTTGTACATCCTAGTGTTCCCAACGTCATCAACCATCCCAACGAGGATGGGTTCAGCCCTAACAATGATGATATGTTTGTTGACCTTCCATTTCCAGATGATATGGACAATGACCTTGGCGTATTAATGACTGGGAACCTGCATTCCTCTCCCAGCTCCTCCCAGGCTCTCCTTCTGGAATTGGTGTGGGCTCTCACTTCCAGCACAGTCTGAGCCAGGGCGAGCATCTTCTCTTAAGAGAGGCACCAGAGGAGCTCCAGCAGCAGCCCTAGCCTTGGGTATTTTGTGTCAACTGCCAAAGCTGAGAATCTCTCCCAGTGGTTTTGGGTCATCAGGTCCCCAGACTCGGAACCAGTGCCCTCTCTTCCTAGAGGCTTCCCTTCATCACCACATCTCTGTAGCACATCGGATGAACTTCTCCCTGCCAGGAATTCTCTACGGGTTCCACCCCCTCTGGACTCCAAGAGCACATGTGATTGCACTGTCCTGGCTCCTGTGCAATCCAGCCACCCAGGGTTCCTGTCTTCCCGTCCACTTGTGGTGCTCACTCAGTGGTAGAAGGCCATCATGAATACACTTTAATTGGAAAGCACTTGTTCCCTCTGGCTCAGGTCCTTCTCCTGCAGCCTCTGTGTGAGGAACCTGCCATCCTTTTCTTGAGACCAAACTCCACAGTCCCGCACTGTGAAGCCCTCAGCAGGCACATGTTCATTCTGCAGAGCTCATGACCACAGCGACTCCTTGACACTTGTCTCATGGACCTGGGAGCTTCATAAGCAGTGACCCTCAGCCAGTGTGTGGTGTGGGCAGCACCCCCACAGCCACTGGTCCACAGGAAGTAGTTGTAGCTGGTGGCTTTTAAGAGGGAAACACAAGAGACAGTGTCCTTTTGCGTAAGAGTGTGTGTTTTCAGCTTCTGTTTAAAGATGAGATCCACAGAACCCTTTGGATGAAATCCTCTTGTTTTTTGGTGAATGGCCTGTGGGTTATCTGAACTCCATTCTCTGGGACTTTTTAAATATAACCAGCTCAAGTACATGATTTCACACCCGAGTCTCCGACTCCGAAACGCTCCCATCCAGATTGGCACGAATGCTTGAGTTGACTTCATACCTGTGTGTAGATTCAAAAGGCCTGGAGACTGCTTCATTTTATTTGTTTTAAGTTGTCCTATGTTTTTGTAACTTTCTTTTCACTTTTTGATTGTTGAGGACCAGGTACAGTAGCTGAAACCCAACTCAGATCCACCATAGGATTCTTTGACTACATACCTCTGTCCTAGAAGCCAGAAAAAGAGTGGAAAAAAAATCTGGGAGATCATGCCTAAAATGCCATGTGTTCATGACCACCCAGCAGTAGATCTTGTTAAGAACACACTGGGTTTTAGGAGTTCTGCCATGCTCAGTGCGGCCCGCATTGTGTGAAGGATGGCAGTCTCATACCAAGGCAGTCGAGCTCTGCCCAGAGCCGTGGAGGCAAGGACCTTAACTAGTGTTGTATAGTCGTCATAATGAAAATATATTTTCTAGTGAATTCTTATCAAAAATAGTTCTCTCCTCTCATTAGAGCAAAAGGGACTCATGTACATATCACAGTGGAAAGTGTTTGCTCATAAAATCAGTTATAAATATGGTGAATATTTTCTGGACCATAGGAATATTATTTCAAAGAACTATTACAACTTAACCATTAAATTAGTACCTGAAGTTGAACCTTCATGGTGGGACTTTTTTTTTTAAATGCCTTTTTAAAGTATTAATGGCTAATGGAAGTATTTTATGACTCCTCTTTCCAGGCCCAGAGGGTTCTATTTGAGACCTTGTTTCTAACCCTTGTGTTCTGTGTGTTTCTGTCTGAGGGTGGTAGCGGGCATGGACCGGCCTCCTGGAGCCACTTTGAGCTCTATTCATCTGTGGAGAGAATCCTGCAGATTTTAAAAGTTCCTCCAGGAGACTTCCATGTCCCGGTTATTAACAAAAAAAAAAAAAAAAAGGAAAAAATGTAATAATTGATATGATTTTATAAAAGTATTTTTCTTGAAATAATATAACATATAAAACATTATATTAAAAAATTGTGTGATGGGAATGTGAAAGCAGAGAAATAATTTGTAAATGGATAATTTTGTTCTCTGTGCCACCAATTGAAGGGGGGAGGGGTAGACCTTCACAATGTATAGGTTAAAAAAATCTGATATATCAAACCATTTGTATCTAATGTGTACAGTGCAAAATTGACTAAACACATTGCAGTACTGTTTTTTCTTAATCAGAAAGGAAAATTCTCAAGGCCTTTTGAAGAGCATAAGATGATGAAGATTTTAAACTTGTATAAAATTATCTTGGTGAGAAGACACATTTTAAAGTAGATATTTGTAATCTTTTACCACTTTGGGGTTGCTTTTTTCCCAGAATTAATCAGAACTTTGAATTTTTTTAATGGGCTGTTTTTAATGCAGGGGCTTTTCTTCCCTAGAAACCCAATTCTAAGGAGAAAAAAAAAATTTAAAAAGACAGCAAAGGATAGTTTTCATCTGGTGTCTTTTAATTATGTAAGCTTTTTAAGTTGAAAAAAAACTGGTGACATATTTATATATTTTTGTGCAAAAATAAATGAATGGCAATAGATTTTTTAAAAATCTTATTTACTTTTGTGTGAAAAAGTCTGTACAATATTTCCCTTAAATATGCACTATTTTACTTGTGAGGTTTTTTAACTGAATTAATATGAAATGTACAAGCCCTGGGTTTGCTAGAGTGAAACTTATTTTATTTTATTTTTTAATTTTGGAAATTCTCTAGAAATCAGAACTCTTAACCATGTTTTGAACTAAAAAGGGGCAGTGGGAAGGGGATAAGGGTGGGATTGTCCAGCATGCTTATATGTATATGTCAGAAACTTTTTTAAATGTAAAAGCTGTACATTTATGGGAAGTTCAGAATTTTTTTGTTTTCTTTTTTCCTTGAAGCATTTCGCAGTGAGCTTCTTTTATATATAGCAAACAATTTGAAAGAATACAAAAATATGTGAAGTTCATTTTAAAAAAAAACTATAGTATAGAGCTGGTACAGTGCACTAAAAGACTTTGATAAAAAAGAAACCATGATAAAAGGCCTTCATTTTAAATGTCATTCATATATAACTTGTGGATGAGAGCTATATAATTTTACACACTTTTTTAGAGGAATAAATTATTGAATTACTAAAAAAGATTTTAGGAGATAAATACATGGTTAGGTCAGAGATAAACATGCAAATATGTTGAGTATCATAAGTATAACAGAGAAATTAAGGTGCAAAAGTAGGTAGAGTGATTAGGGAGATATAGTGACTGACTAATTTTAAATAAGCAAATGGAAAAATTGAGCTTTTTATTGTAAAAATAGGGATGACTCTGAGCTAAAAATTTGGAAATGGGGTAAAATCAAGGTTGCAAATTTGGCTCTATTTGGTGGTAAGAAGGGAAATACAGAGGAAGTTTTATGTTAGAGACAAAATTTTTAAAATTGTGGTATGAAGGGGAATACAGAGGAAAGTGCTATAGTAGAGACAAAAATAGGATGTGGAGATGATATACAACTAATTCTTTTATATTTTTGGTACTAGAAATTGAACTCAGCAGACTCAACCACTGAGCCATATCCCCAGCCCTATTTTGTACCTTATTTGGAGGCACTGAATTGTAATTTACCTAAAGGCACTAAGTTGCTTATGGCCTTGCCATTGCTGAGGCTGGCTTTGAACTCACAACTCTCCTGCCTTAGTGTCCTGAGCCACTGGGATTTCAGGCATAAGCCACCACACTTGGCAAGAATTAATTCTAAAGAAATAAATTCTACAATGAGAGGTTGGGGGAAAGCAAAGGAAAGAGGAAAATAGATAAAGAACAATTAGTGCAGCCAGTAGACCAAGGGACCATGAGTGAGGATTCAGAGTCATCATGTCCTCTACCAGAATGGCAAGGCCTCACACCAAAATAACAGTTCCCCCTCTAGAAATCCTACTAATGAAAACAGAGAAAATCTGTGTCCCATTTTTCTCATTTTCCAACTCTGTGCTCACCATAATTCCTAACACAGTCTAGAAGTTTTAAGTATAAGAATATTATATTGTGACTGCATAGAACATGGGTTCTGGATTTTGCTTTTATTACTAAAGAGTCACAATGTGCCTTGAAAATGAGTAAGAAGTAACACTATTGTTTTGCAGAAACACCTTTTGCTCAAATCTAGTACATCTGCCAATCTAACTCAAGTACCTACATCATCTACTAGCCAGGAAAGATCAAACCATAATATATCACCTAAAGAGAAAACTAAAACCCTTTCCCCTCTGTCCCATTGACTTGTTTCTCTCTTTACAAAGTTTCCATATGAAGAATACATTTCCCATTGAATCTCTCGATTGAGGATATCTACAGGCATGGGCAGTGGGGAAAGTGCTAGAAAAGGTATATTAAGATCCTTCCATACAAAAGTATTTAAAAATACTAATGCTCTGCCATGCCAGGGGTCCCATAGTTTGTGATGGAATTTCTGGTAAGCACTTGATTATGAATAATTTTACTGGCATTGATTAGATACTGTGCTGGAAAAGATGTTAGAAGACTTGGATTGAAATTGCAGATATAATCCAACACTATTTAGGTGACCTTATTAAATTACTCAGATCCTCTGAACTTCAACTGAGACAAGATAAAACAGAATCTAACCCTATGACCTCCGATTTGAGAGTTGGCTTTGATACCTGACTCTCTCAACTGCAAGATCTCTGGGACTCAGTGTTCATTGATATAACTATGTGTAAGTTATTTAACTTCTCTTTATTTTTATTGTTCAAGTAAGGCTTTAATTGTACCTACTTAAAGGACTACAGGAACATGATCAGTTTTGTTTGGAAATGCCTTCACCTCATTGCTTAGCACTCCCCGACTTGAGATCCTGGCACTGTGAACAGTCATACCTCACCCCTTAGAAAGAATTAGGGCCTACATCAGTGGAGAGTGAAGATGAAAAATGAGAACAATGTGATTCTGGGCACCACAGAAGATGGCTTAGCATTGTCTTGAGTTTCAATGGCACAAAATAAGGGACATGGTAGTGTTTTAGTTGGTGGCATTCACACGATGGTGCCTATGTTCTCTTGGAGAAAGATACCCCATCGCTCAGCACTGGGGGACTATTCCAGGGTCACCTTCCTCCTTCTGCAGTGTC